TTTCATTGTAAACAATATTATAATATACCTATTTTCGAGTGCACTGTTTTAATATAGGAAAGGTAGGGTTTCGCCTAAATTCAATATACGACGTTAGCATTCGAACTTTTCCACCACAAGACGCGTTACTATTACGAACACGTCGTAAACGGTTTTCGTTTTTGTTTTTATTGAATTTTCGACCGTAAAATAATTTAAAATTTATTAATCTCGACGATAACCTCGAACACCAACACGCGAGGCGTTTAGATTTGCACACACTACGCGTGCACTTACAGATACGTGTTTTGCATTCAACCGTGAGTATAGCTACATACTTCGAATCTTCTCTATAATATAACAGTATATTATTCACAAGGTTTACAGTGGATTGAAAATTTTAAAAACTTATCATTCATTATAAAATATTAAAGTAAAAACAAAATTATTAAAATGGTTAATACTCGTAAATAAATATATATATATATATATATATATATATAAAATGTATGTATAAAAATAAAATAAATAAATGAATCAATGGTGTATTATGCCTGGTGTATTATGATAAGTGTATTACACGACCGGTTTCGAATTAGTAATTCATTATCTGATATATCACATTCAAAATGTAAAACGCGACTGAATATAAAAAATTAAATGAAGGAATACATAGAAAAGAAAAATTCACAAATTTACTTATCATTCAATAGTAATAATCGATATTTACGTACATAGGTACTGTTTTGTCGACGAATCGGTTTTTAACGAGTTACTCTCGTCAATTAATATAATATAGACAAACACAATTATGTTTACTTTGAAATGTCGGGTTTTTAAAATAAATATTGTATTACGGGTACATTCAAAATACCAGCGAATTGTTTGTAAAAGAAAAATCAAATTCAAGTTACGACAAACCTCGTGTTAAATTTTCAAATAGTAAATATAACCACAAAAATACCTACTTGGAAAATTAATTTTTCAATTCACGAACAATTCTTAAAAATGTCCAAGATCCAAATAATAAATTATGTACATAAAAACCGTGATTAATAATAAATAAACAATAATACGCTTCACCGATGTGTACGAAGCATCAGAACGAGTGTTCAACATCCGTCCGTTTGATCTCACTTAAAAAACAAACAAAAAGTATTCTTTTTTTTTTTTTTAATGTATATATGGATTACTCGGATGAGTTACTGGAATTTCTACCATTTGAAATGAGCAAGAAAATAAAATTTGTCCTTTAGAACCATATAATAACAATTATATTGTTTTGTCGAATACATTTTTAGTTTTGTGAAATTTCCGCAAGCAATTAGTACACCAGGCCCGGATTAACGTATAGGTGAGGTTGGCACGTGCTTTAGGGCCATAGTGCAATGACAGCAGTAACTTTATTTGTTCTATCTGTAGTAATACGCATCAATAGCGCCTTAAAATTAAGTGTACAAAAAAATTAAACGGAATAATTGAAACAATCATAAGAAAACGGACCCATATACGTGTTTTTTAAAATAACGGGAGGTTAGGTTTTTTTTACACAAAGCAATTTTAAAAAGAAAAAAAAAAGGGTTCTATTGATGGAAAAAAAAAACCGTCTCATAATTCGCACGGAAATAATATGAAAAATAAATTATATTATTCGTCGAAATAAAAAAAGGGGCTCACGAACTGTTTGTATTTTTACTGTAAAATAGTAAAAATCTAATCTAACGGAAAAACAAAATAAAATTTAAACCATTTACATAATATAAGATTACGATTGTACAGCTAAAGCTAAAGTTCCGGGTGCTGGTTGTACGAATACATCGCTGAGATAGCCTTACGGAATGGGTTATTAAAAAACGAAAATGTGTCTACAGTTAAAATTTGGGGTTATCAGCCCCCCCCCTTCTCCTCACCAATCAAAATTTGAAATTTGTTTACGAATTCGTAATACGAAAACGAATTACGATTTTATTGTTTCATAATCGGTTTGCAATTATTATAGATGTTTCCTTGTAATTTTTACTATAGGTACGTGTATGTCGCGAACTTCACCGATTTATCAATTTATCATCCCAGATATCTAAACAAATTTGTTCAAACACGTATACTACTCTCACATTTTCATCGAAAATGAATTTTAATTGCGTCACCGGCTGCAAGTATATACAATTATAACTAAAGTTTTTTTTTTTTCGACGTTAGTTTTACGCTCGCCTAACCGTAGTGTGATGAGGATTTCAATCTGTAAATTGGAAAAAAAGTCGTTCTTGAACAAGAAACGAGGTGGAATTCAATGAAAAATGTTATCAATTTCGTCCGATAAAACAGTCGTGTTTTTATTTGAAACGTTTACTAAATACGTATATAGTTAGTTTTGTTTTCAAGCGAGTAAATAAAAATGTTTATATCAGATTTAAGTGTCTCGCCGTATTGATATATAATATACATGTATACGTCGAAAGTTTTAAAGAGTTCAAATGGCCGTTTAAAAATAACTTTGACCAACCCGTCTACCATCAGCGAAATGTAGACGGGAATAAAGCAATTTAAAAAAATAAAAAATAAAACTATTCTTCGTCGCGCGTTTATTCTGTACTGTGTACCAAAGTGCATTATCATCTGAACGATTCTTTTGCGCGACATAACGACAATAACCGGTTCATTTGATTTTTTCAAAACCGTAATCTAATAAATAATATATACAGGGTGATACACTAAGCGTGTTCACCCGTATTTTCGGTTAAATTTTACATATTGATTTTTGGAATTTCAGAGTATAGTTTTTTTTCAAATATACAATTTTTAAACTAATTATACAATAAGAATATGTGCAATGATAACAATTATTAATATGAGTTACTTGATAAGAGGAGTAAACAAGCGGCTACAATTTATATTAATTTAAAATTGTGTGTTATGCATTTTTTTTTATATATATATATACTAATTTAGATTTGGATTCAAAATTTGGGTCACGACAACATCTTCTCTTCATCCTCCTTTGGGGAGACATTCAGGAACAGTTTTGATGTTTCGGTCTGTGTGAAGTGTATACTTGTATACATAGAAAGGGGCCTTATAGTATTATATGCTGGAGGTTATCTATTGGAGTCTTTGTACTCTGTTTAAATTTGATAAATAATTGCCCACACCCCATTACTGCAGGCCATATGTCCAGATAGGCGCGGGAAGTTGCTTATAAATTAGTATTTTCGTTTTGAGATTGAATTCAGAGTGAATACCTAGCAGATGGTACAGTGATTTCGTTCGGAGGTCTGTAGGACGGTAAATTCGATTTGTATATGTTAATAAGCGTAGTTAAAATCGATATTTTCGAGTGCTTAGATTTTTCGCAACATTTAAGGAGTATCCTGTGGCGATGTCAACTTCGGGTTTTCAAACGAGAACGTACGTTAAAAATGACCGCAAACAGACGGAGTGTTATGGAAATGGGAAAATGTTGACGGCAAAATGTATTTGAAGTGACACTCCGTTTGTTCGCGGGCATTTTTATTGCAGGTTCTCGTTTGAAAAAACCGAAATCGGCGTCTCGCCCGCGAGATCACTCCTTGGATTCGAACGTGTACGCGAATATTACCCGGAAAAAAAAAAAAAACGGGGCACGTGGGCACGCTCAGCGAATCGCCATGCACATTGTTGTACCGGCGAATGGCGTTGTTTTCGCGGCCGCGACGTGACGGGACCGTCGGGTTATTTCATTGAAAGTCGCGCGGACGAAAAAAAGCGAACGGCCGGGGCACGGCGCGGTCCCGCGCGGCGCGTGCGACGCGCTAAATGAATGGAAACTCCGCGTGTCCGCGCAAATGACAATCGCCGAATGTCCACGCCGCGGCGTTTTACACGCGGAACGGACCCGCGCGCGCGGACCGTTCGTCACCTTCGGACTGTCCGTTCGCGCGATAAACGCGCGGCGTGGCGCCGACGCGATTTCGGAAGAACCGTTCTGGTGGGCTTTTTTTTTTTTTTTCGGTTTCGTCTCCGCCTTTTTCCGGCGGCGGTCGTGTTTGCGCCCGCGCGCATCACAACAATGGCGACTCTATTGAATTATTCGCGGAATCGCGAATGTTACACACACGCGAACAACGCCGCCCCGCGCGTCCGCCAATTTAACGTTATTATTTCGCCGTGCGCGGTGTTACACGCGCGTACAACTTTCATTAGCGCCGTAACAAGAATTATAAAATTCAATTTACACCGCGTTTAACGTTGTTCAATTATACATCGGGGCAATAACGCGGCGGCCCCTCCCCCCCCACCCCGTACGGCCGCGCGCCCGCCCGAACAGTACGCACGTGCACTTTCGTTCGTTACGGAATCAGCGCCCGCGTTATTATTTTTATTGTTGTTGTCGTTATTGTTGTCGTTATCGTCGTTGTTATTGCGCATTATAAAAGGTTGGATTTTAAACGCGCGGTTACGCCGTACCGCGTTGTGTTCGCGGGCACCGCGGTATACGAGTAATTTTTCCAGCAACATATGGTCTTTTCAATAATCTCACAATCGTGATTTCCGAACTACGCCCTTTTAACATTAGAAAAAACCACGTGCAACTTTATACGATCGGCCATATAACTCATTTTCAGTGAGTAGATAGATTTTAAGAGTGATATTGGCCCTTTTCGACCGAAGCCCCAGAATTATACTTATATAGATAGGATTAGGAGTGTAGACAAGAATTTCTAAAGGCGTTTTGAAAAAAAAATACTAAGTTGTTCCAATATCAGTAATACGAGGTAATCCATTTATGTGGGTACACTCATGATCTGGAAAACATTTTTCGGAATTTATTTTCTAGAACATTTAAAAAACAAGCAGCTATACGATTTTATATTTATAATGTTTTTTGTCACCTTTATCTTTTCAGTAAAACCACGACCAACTTTTGATTTTCGAATGCAAACTTATATTTAAAAAATCCCTAAATACATGGAATATTACCTAAAATAAATTTTAGCGTTGACATTTTTTTATTTCTGTTAAACCATTGACGAGATATTCCACTTTTAAGTTTGGGTTGGAGGAGAACAGCGGAGTATCATTTGTGTGGCAGTACGGCGCGCGATGTGTTGATGGTGATACACTACTCTCCTCCAACCCGATCTTTTGGAAAAAGTTAATGCTTTCCGAGGTAATGAGTATATCCAATTAAATAGACCACCCGGTATATCAGCATCACTATTTGATATCATCTTGCGATATAATCGTAAACCCAAACATCTAGACGGAACATTCAGCATGAAAACACGTTCCGATAAGTGGAGTTTCATTTCGAGGCCAGAAACATGCGATAATATAAATGGGGTGTTTCGATTAGCTGTTTTCAAAGTGCAAATTTGCCATCTCTCACACCATAGGTTTTATGTCATTTCGTTTGGAATAACTACGCCTCCCAGTCCTCGGAATGAATGTCCGTTTAGACGTATAAGTCTACACGGATATATAATGGGCTGCAGACATCGGGTGCAATATCTTTAAGCAAAAACCGTTTCGCTATAGCAGGAAATGCGAGGTGTTACAAAAATCGACCGATACAAACGCCATGAGAAAGCAATCCCTAAATGTACGCGTTTAAGAGCTGCAAAGTTTGCGGATCAAAATTCTAGGAAAAAAATATAAAAATATGTTCTTATGAAAAAGCGCCGAAAGAATACAGCAGTGTTGAATCCCGACAATTTCCCTGGGCGGGAATGCTCACTTTTTTCATTGGTCATTTCCAGGATCATCTTGGAGAATACAGAGATCTTCATGCAGATATTTTTGCGGGGCCTCAATAAGTTTTTTGTTTTGTTTTTTTTTTTCGGATTTTGTACCTTCTATTACCAAGCATAAGAACTGCAATGCCCCGGGCCATTAAAAATTACAAAAAAAAAAAAAATCTACGGCAATTAGCCCACGGTAATGACCGGCGTCGTTCCCGTTAACCGTTTCCGCCGACCGCTATCGCTATCACTGCAATAATAGGCCTGTTTTGGCGATGCGATTTTCAGTAAACAGTCGCATTATTCGCTACTTGGTCGGTTACCCGCCAAAACGAATTTGTTTACTGTGCAATATTTTCTTTTGTTACACAATATGGACGTAACACGATTGAACGGCGTTCTTCGTCGGTAGACGATTAGTAACCGAAAACCGCAAACGCAGTTTTCAACCGTTTGCTGATTCCCGGCGACCAGGTCGTGCCGAAAAGCGCATTCGGCTACCGAACAAATGCCTACAGTAAACCGCGTGGCCAAAAACGGTTCGTTCGCTGTACTAGTGACCTGGGTCGTTCAAAACCGCGTCGCCGAAACGCGTCCGGCATCCGCCCGTGCATAAAAACGCTCGTCGACGTCGACGAAAGAGTCGCGATACGCAATAACGTCGCGCGAAACACAACGGCTACGGCGACTCCGGGCGGGCCGACGGGAGGAGACGGATATTCCGGGGCGCGTCGTCGTCGTCGGCAGCTGACGCGGACGGCGAAACCGAACGGCGGCGGACTGGACCGCGGCTGTCGCGCGGTCGAGAGCAGAGTGAAAATCGGCTCTCGGCGCGGATTCCCGGCTATCCCGCGTACGCGCACGCAACGAACGGCGCATCGTTGCGGCACATCGTCGCTGTTGCCGGGACACCGCGGGGTCGAACCCGAGTGGACTTTTCGCCGCGCGGCTACTAGTGTTTACCGATAACCGTGTTACTATGCGGTATTGCGAATACCGCGACAGTGTAAACGGACCATATGCACGGCGGGCGGAGCTCCGTTTGAATACGCGCGTACTGCGTGTGCGGGAATAGCAGCTGGGGAGATCCTCCTCCATACGGGTCCCGGCGGTCGCCGGACGGTGTTACCGCGGGATCACGGCGGCCGGCCGGAACGCGACGCTGCGCGCACATACCGATGAGTGTCTTCCGGACCCGCGGGCTTTTCGCGAACAGTAACGCGGCGCCAACCGAAAGCATCCGCTCGAAAGTAATCGCCCGCGGCGTTTCGTCATCGTCGCGACGCGGACGGCGGCCAGGAGACGCGCCGAAATGTGAAACGCGCCCTCTGCAGCGCGATTTTCGAACGTATCCTTCGGGCCACTGGCCGACGACCGTCTTCTTCTTCTTCTCCTTCCGATGACTGTTCGGCGATCTTCTGAAAAACACTAATAGCACTAACGACGCTGACGAATCGCCCGTTTTGTACCGGTGAACGTCGCACCGCACTACTATTGCGTCGGCACTGCGGCACCGCGCACGGCCGCTAAACATCGGCCACCGCGCTCTAGGGAAACCGCAGCCGGTCGCCGTTACCGCGGTCAGCAGCGGCCGCCGTTTTTCCACCGACCTCGCAACATTGTACGGCAGTCGCCGTATTCGTCGTTATTATTGCGAGCGGGCAACGCGCGCGGCGGGCGATCGCCCGATCGCGCACGCAGTCCGAACCGAACGCACCGAACCGAACGCACCGAACCCAAGACGGGGCTAATGATACCGGTCAGCGGCGGTGATTGTCGGAAACGGCCAGCGGAGGGGGCGAAACGTTCGACGGGTTTTCAGGCCCGCGGCTGTTTGTCGACGAGATTAAACGTTTTTAAATCGAAATATCATCGAAAATCAATCGTGTTCATTTCGTTCCGCGGCGAAACGTTTTTCGATTTTACGATCCGCGTTCGGCGCACGGCCCGTACCGGTCAGTAACCGCGGGTTCACGTTTCCGATGTTCGAGCGAACCCGACGTTTGAAAAACTGTAATTATTGAGTTTAGAGATCAATGTGATACTGTTACTTACGCGGAGACTTTTGTCATCTTAACCGGCCGACGAGCAAACGGAACCGGCGTCGTGAAATACTGTACGCAGGCGTTCCGTGATGTTATCAGTACGCGCTGTTTACAATTTTATCTTATCTTTTAATTTTAATTTTAATAAACGTAAGGATAGAGCGTTATCGGGAAAGCCCTAAAAGTTTTACGGTTTATAAAACGCCGTACGCGCACGCAAGGAACGGCGCGCGCGGCGATCGGTCGGGGAGCATCGTTGCGGCCGCCGTGTTTGTATTGTGCGGGATAAAAGGTAATTCGCCCGAACGCGTGACGTCCGATCGGGATGGGGCTTTCGATTGCCACGGATCGCGCGGGCGTCCTGAGAAAACCTCGGTTCAAAAAAAAAGCAGCCGAGAGTCGGAAATGTTCGGAAATCACTGTTCTCGCGAATGGATAATATTATGGCGACGGTTAAAATCAATTTTTTCCCGCACGCTCGCCTTTCCGCAGTGCACGACGGCCAAATAAATAGAATCCCGATTAATTTGAATTTCGGTTATCATCTTGTCGCCATCTGTCGGGAATTTTATTTCGCGTCGCCGAACAACCGACCGGCGAACAATGTGTACTGCCTATGATCGGCACGGACACTATACGTACCCGGGAAAAACCCGACGCACCGGCGGCGCGCACCGAAATCTAATCCCGCCGGTACGGATGCGTATTCCCCGAACGCTCCGACACTAAACGCGTACCTACCTACCTACTTACTCACATGTCGATCTCAACCGCGAAAATCTCGCATATTATCGTTATGTTGGTCGCACTGTGTGTGCCAATGATTTTTTTCGCGGAAAATCGCAGCTGGCCGCCACGTTTTTCACGTCACGTAGGCGTCCGGCGGACGGTTTTCGCTCGCCGTTCAGTTTTCAGCAAGTGCGTCGTGAACCGGTTCGTAACGCCGTCGCCGTGAGTGTTTGTTACGCGTTTTCTAGCGGTTTCCCGTTCCGAAGTTCGTTTTATTTACTATTGTCGGCCGTTTCGTTTTTCGTACCATTTCGGTTCCGGCCAACGCGGCGGCGTCGAATGCACGGGAATTCGTCAAGACCAACGGCTGCGGCGGTCGGTGAGTAAATTGAAAAACCCCGTTAGTTTTCCGGGAAAAATGGCCGCCGGGCCGCCGCGTTCGTCGCGCGACCGGGACGCGCGAACGCAATAACCGGAAAAATAATAAAAACGTTCCTAAAATATTTCCGTTACTATCGTGGACGTTTTCACGTAGAGCTCCCGCACTACCACCCTCACTCCCGGTCACCGGAATCCAGTTACGCGGTTTTGCACGACCGATCCGGGTTTGCTTTCGGTAAAAACTCCGACCAAGAGTTCGCGACCGAGTCGGCGAGCACACGACAGCGCGCCCGAGTACCGTTCCGTGCAAACAACGTATGGTAATGGTTTTTAACATTAATAATATCGTTTTCACGATTTGCACGCTGTCCTGTAATTTCCGTCTGTCGCTGCTCGGTCAACATTGAAACACCACGGTCGGCCGCCCAAAACGACACCCGTTCCGTTTACACGGCCATCAGGTTCCCAGTGAGACACGGAATGTATTGGTTTCGCAATGATATTTTTTTTATTGTTATTATTTTTCATGTGAACGTTTTTCCCACCAGAAATCGCACTCGCGATTATCGAGTATAGCACATTTTCCGAAAGGATACGTTCTCTGGGTGTGGTACTTTCGAGGGGTAATTTTTCGAAATGCTCATTGATATATTCGAGATAACGAGGAAAACCTCCTCGGTCTTCGGGTCGAGAAAGACCGCGAGATTAATAACGAGGTTGTCATTGGCAACGGTTTTTATTTGTCTTTTTTGTTATTAGATTTTTGCAATCGAAATCTTTTTTTAAACAATCATTGCCGTCACGGAAACGCAAATTGTTGTAATCATTTCACCATAATATTACATAATAAATACGCATACCATATAATTGTATTATGTCGACAAAGCAAACGCTATCGACCGAATTCCGATCAGAATCGTTTATTTTCGTCGGCGACCGTTTATCGTTGCACACGGACGTACATTGAATACCCGTTTGTATCCTGCGTTCCCGACTTGCGAATTATGTCCCTTTTTTCCTTTTTTTTTTTTTTTCTTTTCGTAATAATACCGTTATTATTGCATACCGCGGTTCACTTCAGTATTCTACGTTCGAACGATTTCCATAACAATGCGTATAACTACTCGAGAGATAACGCCTCGCCGTTACGTCGTCACATGCGGTCGGGCGTCGGTACATTTCCGTGTCCTGATTTATTAATTGTATTGCGTTTTCTGTACACTCGAAATGCGGCCCGCGCGGTAAACCGCTAGCGGAAATCGGCGCGCGGTTGTTCGGTAATCGTACAGGAATCCGTTAGCGACCCGATAGGAGGAAATCGTCGGGGAAAAATCGCGGTGCGTACAAACTATTCATGACGCGCGATTTACGCCCCCTCCCCCCTCCCCCCGTGTATGTGACTATGTCGGTATAACAGGCGCGTTTTGATTTGTCCGCGCGAAAACGCACTCACGCAAACGGCTGTCCCGGGACAACGGGGATGGGTGCAGCCACTGTTGCAGGTGACAAGTTCGAAAAGGTAGTGGATACGATGGTGGGGGGGGGTTGTGGAGGAAATTCAACGTATATCCGCGAGCAACGGTAAACGGTCGCTAACGAAAAAACGATCGCGAGCGATGTTCGGTTTGAAAATTGTTGTTTTGTCAACGAATTGCGTGGGTATGATATGATACCGCGGTAAAACAATTGAACAGGCATTATATATTTTCTTCGATAAAAATTCGTTAAATGTCGTACCCGTTTTCCCGGTTTTTATTTTTTCCATTTATTGGGAAAATCGAAAAATTACCTCCCCTAAGTACATACCCAAATGATTTCATGCGTTTTTTGTAAAATGTATCGGGTGTGTGTGTGTGTATGCGATTATTATTGTTTTGTATTGCCTATCTGTTTATGAAATGTATTACGCGAGTTTTTCTTTTTTCAAAACGTTAACACCGTCGTCTGTTGATTCGTGTTGTATTTACGTGTTAGGTGTTACGCCGCCGTACGCGTTATTATTTTCTTAGTTTTTTTTTTTACGATTTATCGACTCGTTGTCGTTTATGCACGGTATCTTTTGCTTATCGGCCCGCCTCCGGGTCCGCCATTCGCCGGCCCTACGCGCAGTTCACCCAGTCGTAGTTCCGTGGTGTTCACCAATTCGAATTTCGATAAAAACTTCTTTCGAAGTAGTTGTTCGTGCGGTTCGGCGCGATGTCGCAGTTATTTACACGCGGAACAATAAATTGCATCCGTAGCGACGAAATGGCACTGCTGCCCCGCGAAGCGGCCGCTCGCGTAGTAGTCTCGAGTCTATTGTGGAGTTTTCCCGTTCCGCCGTCGGTTTAATCAAGTATAATACGATTCAACGGCGTGTTTTCCGGCGATTTTATTCCGGTACGTTTAATTCGTAAATAGCATTGTTACAGTCTTCAATAAAAAGCGCGATAAAAAAAAAAAAAAACAACAACACGTTATTATTTAAAGGGAACGTTTTTAGTTTTGTTATTTGCGTTTGTTGTATCGATACATGTATCTGGTACCCATAACCTATGGGTTGTTGATAATAACGTGTTTTTTTTTCGATTCGAACGCAGACGCCTATAGTTTTGCAAAGATATTCATTTGTTTTTTATCTTTATTATTATTATTATTTTTTTTTTGTTTTATCTATCAACAACTTTTCTACCAGCAATTTCGCTCCGATTTAAAACTATAGCATTTTTTCTCAAAGAAAATCTGACTGGGAAGGTACTTTTGGCGTGGTAGTTGTTCGATTTCCTCGGGAGTTTTTTCAGCAAACGTGAAGAACCGAGGAAAAACATGGGAAAACCCGGAAAAATTTGGAAAATTGGGAAAATCGGTACAACATTATTACAAAACAAAAGCCTATTTAATTATTTTGCCAATAAGCAATGGTTTATCGTTGCTTACAGGTATATATTAAATTATTTATAAAAGTAGCTGCACCCGTCCCCATTATCCCAGGACGTCTTTTTTTTTTTTATTATTATGGACAACTTTTCTACCAGCAATTTCGCTCTGATTTACAAGGATAGCACTTTTTCTAAAATGAAATCCGACTGGTGACGTTTTTCCCGATAAATGGGAAACAATTATTATCGAAGAAAAAATTTTTTTTGTATATACGTAAATATTTTTATAAAAATATGACGCATATACTATTGACAAAGCAACACTATCAACCGGACTCCGCTGAGAATCGTTTTTTCGTTGTCGGCGATGGTTAATCGTCGGTTACAGACGTACATTAAATTCTCGTCTATATCCTACCTTCCCGACATTCCACCTACAGCGACTGCGATGATTGAGATCAATCGACGAGAGGCGAGGCGCGCTCGTTTATCCCAGACGGTGTGGAATTTTTTTTTTCCCCGAAACGCGGCGTCTTTTAGATCGACGATTTTCAAACCGGTGAGAGGGGTGGGGCGATCGCCGACAATTTTTTTTCATGGTCGCCGATATACGGCGAAAATATCTAACGAGGTTATATTATTGTAACGCTATCGTATTATCATAGTAAAAAAAAAAGTGTCCAGCGGCGCCGAACCGTGTTTCGCAAAGGCGAACAGGTCAAAAGTCGCATGGACCACCACCGTTTACGGAACGAATTTCCCATGCACAACACTGCTAATTAATAAGAGACCGTGCCGTACCGATTCGATTAGAAACTATGGCTCAGGTGCCCGTCACGGATCGCACAGACATCGAGAACCGCCGGTTTAACTCGTTAACAATACCCGGCCTTGCTATTATGCAAAGAGATGTTTCCGCCGTGTTTTGGATCGATGTACCAAAAGTAATACCCATTATGGTAATAATAATACAGCTCGTCACGGTCGATAATAAAATGATAAAATTAGTTTTTCGAAAATCGCATACCATCCGTTGTATTCAAACATTTCAAAATATTTTTATATTAATATACCCAATGCTGCAAGTAATAATTATAAATCGTGTAGTAATAATAATATAACTCGTTTAGTCAATAATTATAATTATATAATAAAAGTTTAAAAAAATCATGTAATTAAATGAAACCGTTTTAACAAAAGTACTGAAACTAATTTCATTAGATTTTTTTTTTATAATTGCTTCCTCGGTAGTTTTTAATCTCTTCGGTATTTTTTTTTTTTTGTTCTTCGTAATATTTTTTATGTTATTACTAATAATTATCGGTTAAATAATATTTAATCGTTAGAATAGGTTACATTACACTAGATTTTGTAAAAATTATAAAATCATCGGTTTGAGATTTCCAACATTTTTTGCGGTAACGGTAATCGTATATCTTTTTTGTTTTTGACGAAAAAGGGCTGTGGCCCGAAAACGGCCAACGTTATTCTGGAGGAAAAGGGAATCGCCCTATCTCTCGTCGTCGCCCTCGGTTCAAAGGGCGAAATAACCGTCGTCACCGATTGTTTTGGTTTTCAAAAAACGGTGACCCATAATGAAAATACGATAAATGGAGACGCAGTTTGGCCGGTTTAAATGCATTTTCGGCGTGTTGCCTTTTCTACTTTAAGGTGGTCCTTGGTTATTTGTTTTTTTTTTTTGGTTTTTCGGACTATCCCCGGAATTTGTTCCGAACTATACGAAAAATAAATCGTGTAAAGTTTCATAACGATTGGTCAGCTTATTAAGAGAGTTGAAATTCGAAAAAAAGGCGTTTTCAATTTTTATAATTACGGCCTAAAATATGTACAATAGGCAAAAAACACATAGAACAATATATATATATTTTTTTAAATTAAATTTCCTATTCTTATAGTTTTTACTCATGCTTAACACGGAATAGTATACTATACACACGAATTCGTGTGGTATTTTTTTTTTTTTTAGCGTCGCGTTATAATTGCCGGTAATCGATGATTACCAATAAAGGTCAATTCTGAATTATTAAAAATCGTTTTTGGTCTTGGTTTTTATCGGCTAAACTATTATAATAAGGTTTGTAAATTTGAAATATTGAAAAATATTTTCCCTTTTACGTTTACAATAGTGTTTGTCAAATACTGAAATGTCATCTAATCAGCCTATATTTTATGATGTCCTTTTCGGTGCAATGGTTGTGGTCTCTGGTATAACGTAGCGTAGGTAATGAAAAACCGGCGTATCGATAGCAATTGTTAATACTGAGTTCCGTAATTATCGCTTGTCACTTTAAAAGTTATCAGTTATCTAATAATAACTTTCAAACATGTTAATTTCACGGAATTTTACAACCCCAATTATAATTGCAGACTATTTTAGCCGCTCGTTTCGCAGCAGCGTCACTATAACTAATCGTTCAATTTACGAAATCCTCGTAAGTAATACACCGATTGTTATTCTCACACACAAGTAGCTGCCACACTTATTTCCTAGATGTCGTAAAAAAAACCCCGATCCGGTTAGCACTTTCCGGGACGCGAGCGGCTCGCGCGTCACGTCGATCGCCCTGTATAATATCGGACGTAAAATAAAGGTCGCGGATATAACGGTTTTATAATATTGTTAATGGTTGGCGGCCGACCCGTCACCAGACTGTCGGGTAGGTGTAGCTGTGCCCCTGCGCCACACTGTTTACCGTAGTCGCCGCCGCAATAATATTAATATACCCACCTATCTATACCGAACGATAAGTTCACGACTCGTCGGGCCATTTATTATCGCCGGCGAATTGTTATTCGCTCGCCGGTCGCGAACAAGTTCGGGCGAGTTTACGTGCGACGCGAGGGAGAGGACGGGGGAGGGGCGTCGATAGTATAATTATTTTACGGCCCATGAGTTTTATCGCCGCCGCCGCCGCCGCCGTCCGTTCGCACGTCGAAAACGATCGGAACGCATCGCGGCCGTGTACGCGGTGCACCGGCAGCAGTAGACACTACACCCAACACGGTTATTGGCGCCGGACGCGTGCGGTTATTCGAAAACGATAATGACGAATAACTACGGCCCGGGAGCGCGCGTTATGTACCTATATCGAAATATGAAAACTACTCCGTCTGTTCGGGACGTCCGGCGGATCGAAAGAGCGACCGAGCGAGGGAATGAACGAAATGAATCGAAAATAAATCCCGATTAGTTATGCAAAACGGCGTCGGGTAGGCCTTTATATTTTCGTGTGCAGTACGTTAATATGCACGGTCTTAGGAAAATAGATCCTACGACGGTCACCAGCCCCCTACCCCCACACCACCGCCAATAAAGCGATGTCCGCTTATTGAGTCAGATTTAGTTCGCAGTTTGCTCACTAGCGCTGCCGGTTATTCCTATTTGAGGTTATGTAATTATTATTAATCTTGAATATTATGATATAGTATTGTACACGGCCTTGGCGGAATTCTAGCGGCTCATGTAATTAATAATAGAGTATTAACTATTAAGTTTATAACCTCAAATAAGTTTAACCAGCAGCGATCGTGAGTAAAATCTGAAATTAAATTTCTTCAACAAACGGACATCTGATAAGAAAAATTCGTCGGACCTGTTCTTCTAAGACCCTGTTAATATAGAACCGGGCCGCGTTACAGAAAATGGTTCTTATCATTTTCGAATAACTGTACCACGCCGGGTTGCACCATGGCCTGTATTGGATCACAGCGTTGAGCGGTTCTTATCGAATTTGACGAAAAGTCACGTACTGCTAACGCTCTCTACAGTCATTGTTAAAGAAATCGTTGTTACCATTATTGATAACAATTAATCAGTAGCTAGCCAGGATTAGAATTTTAAATACATAGATAATATTTTATGTTCTATGATTTTAAAGCGTTATATACTTATATAGAATTAATAGGGAGCGTTAGTATTTAATTTATTTAATTATTCAACTTACAACACTACTTACATACTACCTATATAATTGATACCTACTCCATATAACGCGCCTTTTTTAAAAATTCTCGATAAGAATATTCGCGGTCGTTATATTACTGCCTGTTTAATAAATCACATTATAACATCTGTATCAGAGGTGGGCAACAAGGTCGTATCCAGCAATGTTTTTCGTCGAGATGGAGAAGTCCAAAACATATGTACCTATATTGTAAATCATAAAATAATTTACTACAGTTTGTTTGAGTTTATATAAATTAAAATATTTTTCGTGATCACTATAATAACACTAAAGAAATCAAAACATTATTTATAAACTTTTTTCTGTTAGAAAAATAATTTATATTATACAGCGTTTAAACTTATGTATTCATTTAACTATGTTGAATTTAATTATATCTATTAAATTCAGCAAATATAAGTTTTTTAAACAAATTTTAAGTTACCACGAATATTTATAACTTAGTTATAAAAGCATTATTTTCCTAAATATACCAGTTTTTCCGACGAGTAGTTTATTTTATAGAATATTTGTAAAACTAGTAGCTCTACAATAATGGTATAAAATTATTTTACATTTGTGCTATTTTTTCGTCACTCTTAGTTTTGAGGGTCACTACATTACCTAATTACGATTTTCAAATGAAAATTTATATTAAAAAATGTCATAAATAGATGGAGTATTAGTCAAAAATAAATTCGCATAACGGTGTAATAAGATAATTTTATCCCCGGAATAATGTTACCAGTGGGGTAAGTTTATATTAAGAAAATGTTATCTCCCTGTCAGATTATCCGGGTGGTAAGATTATACTAGAATAATTTCACCTCTCGGTAATATTTTCCTAGTACAATATTATCCCCCCTCCTGTTAGATTGTCTAGAGGATAAGATAATACTAGAACAATCTTAACCCCTTTTCTTTAGGATTAACCTGACAATAATACATTTTAAATTAATAGATTTACAAACATAATTAACATAGTATGATTTAGAGAGCGAAAACGTGCACTATAGGTGTAAATAATCAGGTTATATCACATTCATAACGTATTTATTATGGGTAGGCTATTGTTCCAAGTGGGCATTCCGGAAATATATAAATTAAGGTACTTCTCAATTAAATTTGTAGCTGAAAACCGCTAGACGAGTGTAAATCGAATTCCAATACATTCATAATCTATTTCGTATCTTGGTTGTGCAATTGCTGTACGTAAGCAATCGGGAAATGTATAATCCATGTAGCGTGATACTATTTTTTTAATTTTATTCATAGGATATATAATATCAAATTTAATAACTTATAATTTCTGCTCTACCTCTATATGTAAATATGAACTATCAAAATGTTTGTAGTTTAAATAAAAATTAAGCTTACTAAATGCTTATTGCTCTTCTTCAATTTACGATACATTTATATTTATAGAAATTTGACTTAATAAAAATATATATTTTAAAGTGAACTTGGTTTAAATCATTTTAATATAAACATGATAGGATAATTTTATCATAATAAAATTAGGTGATTAACAAATATTGATTGGATGCAGTTATTTTCCCATTCATGCGAATAAAGAATTGTATACGAATTACTTTTTTATTATTTAATATTTTATTGATACTCATTCACTGATTTTATTTTGGTAGGAGATTTTAATTTATCTTCATTCTTAAACTCGAATACTGAACAATATGTCTTCGAACGCTTATCTTAAATTTAAACCAACACTAATGATAAAACCTTGGACTTTATATTATCCAATTAAAATTATTTATTTATTAGCAAAGAAAAAAATCCCATTGTTCCAGTAGACAAACATCACTCACCATTAAATATAATTAAGTAATATATATTACAATTTAAATTAATTAAGAAGAAGGGAGTTATCAGTTTCCTAGAAAATTGGTATCGGGATATGAGATTATTCTTGTATAATCTTGTCACCTAGACGAGGGTATCATTTTCCTAGGATAATCTTACCCAACTGGTAACATTATCTGGAGGGGGGGGGGTTAAATCATCCTATAACACCGCCGCACAAATTTATTTTAACTAATACTCCATCTTTTTGGAATTTTTAATATAGGTTACCTTTGAAAATAAAAAGTAAGTAGTAGTTTCTTTAAAAAGGTCATAACTATAATTATAGTAGAAAATGACCCCCATCTCAGAAAAATTGTCTGAATTCAACACTGACAGTATCTTATTACAGTATGCTCAAGGGTAGGGACTTAATTTCCTCCTCATCATAATATTGGATCCACCATTAAACAGCAAAAGATGACACACGCACATATTTGTTACGCACTCGATTATTTCATTCAAATATGCGAGTATATGAATGTACAAATTATTATTATCCCTTTATCCTTCGTGTTTATTTGTGTGTTCTTTTAAAGTGGATAATACCGGTGTTACAATAATACACGAACAAAACTTTTTCGTTACAACCCTATAAAAAAAATAAAACCGACGAAGTTTTGAACGCCAGAACAAAATTTATTTTTGAGCTATTTAAAGATATTTTAATTTCGCTAGTTTTTTATGTAATAGTTATTCGGTATGTACTCTGCGGATAAAATTGTTATACCAAAAAGAAATACTTGAAAATTTAGCTGGAAGTTCATTATAAGTTGTAATTAGTGGTCAACAAGAAAAAGTTGAATGTAAT